CTTCAATTTTAGTTGCGAGCCCAAAATGAAGTTCAGTTTAAAAACGAGCTTGGGAGCTCTCGTAGCCAAGTGTCAGCGAAATCCGGACAGCAGCCTATTCATCATCACTTTGTGTGCTACAAAAATTATCCTTCATATGTGTGTGGCAAAGGTCGGGCTCTAGACGGGGACGTAGCCTAGAACCAAACGCACTGGGAGAGTGCACTGCTCATCCATGCCTTCTAAGACGAACTGTGTGCCGTCCAGCAGGCCGGGGCCACCGCCACTGCTCAAGGGCTCTTGGCTGACACCTGGGCGGGGATATCTGCACAGAGCCCTGAATAACTCGTCAAACGTTTTTTTAAAAATTAAGTTGCGTGTCTCTATCTCGGGAACAATATCATCGTCATTTCCACCTCCATTTAGAAGTTCACATTTTCTTTTTGTGGCCGGGCTAGCAGAAAATGCAGTCAAAGGGCCCTGTCATGTTTTGTCGCGCAATAACTAATTAGTGAGAGTTGTAGCTGAAATTCGCTGCTGTATACTCGACGCGCAAATATCTGCGATTGCCGAGGCCACGCTGTCGTTGCTTCCAGAATCGCGTTCACCGCTGCTCGTGGACGCTTCAACGCAACACGCGCACTTGTAAACTCGGCACACGTTCTTTTCAAGATCGCACGCGTACTCATCAACACCACACGCGGAGGCGTCGACACTACACTTGGTCGCGCCGAAAGCGCTGATCGCGTAATCAACGCAGCATGCGCCGTCAACACGGCCGGCGGTAGGGTCGTAATCAGTGCATACAGACGCACTGTCCAGTTACACACGTGGAAGCTGTCCCTATCTCCCACGTGCGCCGGCTTTCGCTGGTCGGCTAGGTGAGTGGTGTTTGCTTAGTTTTTAATTTCATCCTTTTATTCAAAGGCCTTCGCTATTACCCGTATGCGTGGACAGTTCGGTGCTTCGTTCCTTTGGGGCTTATCGCAATACACGCATGTTGTCGAAGCGATTAACACTGAAAATTAGAAACTCGCAGCAGCAAGCAGTGGCTCCCACCTGTGCCAATGTGCGCCAAAGCCATTCAAATTGTACACAAGCAATAGGAGCACGCCATGAGCCCCAACTTCATTATTTCAGCCATTCAAGATGCCACTCTTGCTCTATTTCGCTTATTTTTCCAGGTTTCATTTTTCGCTGGAAAAATACCGTGCTGAGGCAATATTCAGCTCGGAACTCTCCTCCTCACAATGACAGTACTCTCTCAATCGAGAGCCGCGGAATTAGTGGCGCAGCGGCACCTCCCGAAGACGAACTGTTTTCGCGGTTTTCGGCGACAAAACAATGATTAGGAGCTTTTCTTGATTACTACCGTGTAATTCGTTACAATATTTCACCACTAGATAAAATATGGTCGGACGATCACGAAAAAAATAAATCCGAAAATTGTCAATTTTGACCAAATTTATCGTTCCCATTGCTGCATCCTCGCTTAAAATATTATAAAAGCAAGGATTGCCTCTTCTATCGCGTGTCCTTAAAATAATGATTGCTAACATTTATTTTCATCTAGAACGCCACAATGCTAAGGCCTTCTACGTTAACTACACCTTTGCACCGTGGGACGGCGTGAACTTGTGGCTAAAGCGAAATACAGCTTTTTAAAAGTTTCCTAAGAGACAGACTGATCATCTTTGGCGTGGAGCGCGAAACACGTCTGTGTCGGTTGCTGCAAACAGGGCCCTGTCTTATATTATTTTTATACCACTCCAGTGCACTGCTGATGACTAGGCTCAGCCCTGGTTATTATACTCAGCCTTCTTTGATCATTTATTTTCACTTTAAAGGTGAGAGCTATTCTTCAAAGTATTGCACTTGAGCATTCGCTATTTACCTGCTCCCAGTGACGTAGTAGAAATAACTTCAGAGAGTGTGGCGCGCTGTCGCTGAAAAAACTAAAAGAAAGAAGTCAATTTTTGTCCGGGGATGAAGTGAAGAGTTACTTGTTTTGGTTATCGTAATATACAAACAAAAATATCTGTGCACATAGCTCAGGTAGGATTTTTATTTGTAATGAATTGAAACTTTTTCACTAAACATTCACAAAAACATTCTCAGAAAAAATAATTCTGATGTACCAAAACATTCCCCAATAAGAGCGTTTTGAACTTTAAGGGACAACATCAGCGGGAAAAAATCACGGTTTAATTATGAACGCCACAACAGGCGAACTCTACACGGGTTCCTCTACAACCTCTAACTATCACGTTAACGTTCACAACAAAATGGCCAAAGCGTGATTGTCATGCCTGCAATCAACTTTCCCATTCTGCCAAAGCTGCTGGTGGGCGACAGTAACATGCAAAATAGCTTTTTCGTGGATAACATTGAATTACCTTTTATATTTTTATATAAAGATGCGGTGTGTGATTAGCACTGGCGAGAATAGTGAAAGGAGTGGGAGAAAAATGTAGGGAACACTACTATATATCTAGTGTCCTCAGACACCGTACCACATTGAAAATAAGTAGCCTTTTGTAAAAAATGGTGAACATCTTGTGAGGAATATAGAAATAAAAAAGTGAACTGGGTCACAGAGAACGACGAGACACAGGGTGAGCAGAAGTGGTGAGCTCAAGATAAGCCTGATTTCCTCAACTACAGACAGTGGAGAGCATATCAATCAATCAATCAATCAATCAATCAAAGAACTTTATTTTCACCAAAAACAAAAACATTTACAGTGAAAAAAGGTGGCCGGGAAAAAGCTGTCCAATGACAGCTTGACAAAGCCCCAGCCACCCATCGGTGGCGAAACGACAGGGTACAGCACCTGATAAATGTGGAAGAAAAATGCATAATAATAGTCGCTAAACAGTTTCAAATTGATATCATAGTGCATTCACTACGGGCGCAGGTGCACTACAAGTTACATATGTTACATAAAAATCCGAGGAGGACAAAGAGGTAAACATGAATCCAATACGCCCAGTGCTTCTTATAAACTGCGCTGCCACGGGCTCTGCGAATTAGTGTTCATGCTATCAAGTTAAAATAACTCTCTTACAGTCAACTAACTTATTGTTCTCTTTTTGTCTACAACTGACATGACTATCAAATAAAATATAGGGCTCATTCGCTTGAATATTAGGCTAAGTAAGCTAAATGTTACTTCATTATTGCTGTTTCATGTTGTTTCATACACGCGTAAGTACTTGAATTGGGCGAAATAAAGAAATAACAACATATCTATGGCGTAAATGATGGAGAGTGGAGCGAAGCTAGGTCCACACGCCAATCCCGTGCCTCTTCGGCCTCCCGTTCTCGCACGCTGGGATTTTGTTTGCGCCGCCACGCAGCTTTCCGGCTCGCTTTTGCCTCGCGCGCTCACACATCGGGGTTCCTTCTTCGAGCGCGAGCCACCGCTGCCTTGCGCGAATGCCACTCTCCAGCCTTGTCCATCCGCCGACATTCTTAACGCGCGCGCGCGCTAAAACGGCTTTTATTTTATACCATCGCCCCCCTCCCCCCGCGTATCATACTTTTTATCGGCAAACCGTGAATCATCCGCTGGCTGCGTCCATCCGTCGCCTGTCTGTCTGCCTGTTTGGCCCACGAATGGGCAGACGCACGGACTGACAGACGAATAGACGCATGGACGGACAGACGCATAGATTGATGCGCAAGAGGACAGACGGATGCATGGACTGACAGAAGGATGGACGAATGGACGTACAGACGCATGTATGGACGAACAAGAGGAAAGACAGGCGGATGGACGCACGAACAGACGAATGGGAGGATGGATGCATGAATGAACGCACGTGCAGGCACATGGACGAATGCAGGAATGGCCGAACGCACGGAAGGACGGATGGACGCACTGATGAACGAATGGACGAATGGACGAATGCATGGGCGGACGCATGAATGAACGCAAGAAAGGGTGCACGGGCGAATGGATGGACGCATGGATGAACGCAGGGACGGCCGCACAGATGGATGGACGCACGAGAGGACGGACAGACGGATGGGTGCATGGACGGACGCAGGGAGGGAAGCATGGACGGACAGACGGGCGGACAGACGGGCGGACGGACGGACAGTTGGACGCACAGAAGGACGCGCGGACGGACGCACGAGAGGACAGACGGATGAACGCACGGGCGACGGGTGGATGCACGTATTAACGGATGGGCGCACGGATGGACGGGTGGATGAACTGACGGCCCGAAGCATGAACGGAACGGCGAACGCGTCACCCCACTCACCATTATTCACTCCATAAATATGCTGTGATTTTTATTATTTATCATACTACAAGTAACGTCCCCTAGTATCGTGCCATTCGCATTTTTCAGCATATATGCATTTTGTTATATTGTACAAGTACTGCCCTCCACGGCTGGTTCAAGAACTAACGAGTGGTGGCTACATACGGTTATGACGGGACGCTCAACCCACGTTTTAAGGAGCTTCGCTTCTAAAGAAAGAAGCCATAAAAGTGCCTTTCCAAGCCTTCTTTTTAGTGCGTTGCGTAACACTGGAGACATTCGTTTGATATTGATGCATGCTGTTCGTGCTTAAATATAATTTTGTTATATGAAAAAAAAAATGAATAAGAGAATTGGATTCTGTACCATGAAAGACTGAGCTTCAAGGGTGTAAACAAGCGCCACAGCCAACGTATGGTGCACGGCGAAGATTCGAATGGCCTGCCAAGGGACACTGATATCTTTACAGACGACGCATACTAAAGTGCGTAATTGCAAAATTACGAAATAATAATATATTGTGCCGCAATGTATAATACCTCAAGACAGTTGAAAAATTCTTCTTCGCTAATGTTAATTACACTTAAACGCCGTTTAGCATATATAGAACTGACAGTTTCGAAAAATTGCCAGGGTGCTTTGACAGAAACATTAGGGATTATAACATCACTTGCATGCGGATGGCTTTTTCAACATGTTTCATATCTTGTTCCTTTGACATTAAAAGTGTTTGTGGCTTTTTTGCAGATGCCCATGCTGTAACTCAAGTCAAGGTGACGCTCAGCCTTTCCGATGTATTAACGACTGTGGGAGCACACGTCGACTTGCCTTGTGTGTCACACGGATATCCACTTCCCCGTTACACGTAAGCGTTCAAATGGCTTAATTTGCACACTATAAGAGCTATTGGTGGATTCCACTAAATAACCTACCTTATCTGTGTACGTTCTCTATATGAATAAACTTTCTTTTTATATACAAGCTGACTTAATGCATCCAAATGTATAGCCCATGCAAGACGGACGCAGCGAATGGCACGTAAACGCACACACCCAGCGTTAAATTTCAAAAGCAGATAGTCTATCTACAGGGTCATTTGTATATATAGCGTACATGAGATGTGCAACACGACACGTGTTCAAAAGAAAGAATCGTAGATACAATACACATCTTCATGCCACTTTGGCAAATTCAATGTGTTTGACTTCTAGTGAGACAAGTGGTTGACTAATGCATGCGTAACCAAACTAAGTGACAAAGTTCAGTTCGGTTACTACTCTAGTCTTTCAACAGTGAAGTGTTTTATAGTGAAGCACTTCGCTCTCCGCAAGATCTTGTGACCAACGCTACGCCCCGGCCATTGGCGTAGCGTTGGTCAGATGATCTTGCAGAGAGATAAAAGTGGGAGTTGGTAGGACCGTGCCAAGCTGGGTGCGGGCGAAGGTTGTCGAAAGCATGAATCAATACGAAGTACGCTATCAGTGCTTGGTGGAAAGAGTGAACCACTCAAAGGCTTAGGAATACGGGTGAGGGTGGGCCTCACCAAAAGGATAATCAGCTTCGCGGAAGTTGAGATGGCCGTGTTTTTCTCGTTCCTCTTGTTTTCAAGAATACTTGTTTGATTAAAGAGATATTGGCAAGTGCATTTGTTGCAGCGAATCGAAAGATGCCCATTAGGTCAAGCCGTACAAAGCTTGTTTCCATGTACTTTTAGCATCTGGTTGTTGCATGCAACAACCAGTTCGTTTCACGTAGCATGCACCATATGCTATTGTGATCAGGCCATCACAAGATGAAAGTTTTGTTGAACTTCTTTTACCGGTGAATATTATGTATAGGAAAATAAATAAGTGCTTCATGTTGTGTTTAAATGGTTTTTGCGGACGTGGGAATTTTATTCTGTCAATAACTATCGCTGTATACACACAAGTCAGGAAACCTCTGGGGTCACAAACCGGACGGCTTCTCTCTCAGCCATAGGAAGAACTACATAATAGCAATCCTTTTTCCATTTACCACTCACGCTCTGTTTGAACAGGTGTCAGGGCCACAAACAATCTGAGATGTACTCTTACGCTGTCACTGAACCAGGCCACTCTGTTAATACTTCGTTTTAAACTGCTGATGGAAAGCGTCACTGCTAAACCACTTTTTATACGCAATGTGCCACTGTACTCTGTTAGACAATCAATACGTACAAATACTGAAACACGTGGTGGCTTTCGCGCACCTATGTCAAGTACTACTGATTAGCATCAGTCAAAAAGAGGACAGGTATATTACTGGTAAATTTTCTTGCATCTAATATATTTAACGTTGTATTATGAGCGAACCTAGGTGTCCTGTATTTAAGTATTTGGGCTTGCATGTATGTTTGCGGTTCGGAACCTTCCAGGCATCGAAAGTGCACTATGTGTGTTCTCATGTTTTTTTGTGTACAGATTACATTTCATCTAAAATATCAGAGTATTCAGAATATTGATGATACGCCCAGTATCGCTTAACAAGAAGGTGAGAAAGGCTGGGATAGAAAGCTAAAAATCAGCTTGACTACCCTCCCCCTGCCTTCCAAAAGTACACCTTGACGAGTTTATAGGTGGTCATCAGCAGCCTTGTTACCAGGGTAAATGAATAGGAAGTGAGAACCATGAAATGACCGGAAACAGGATGAAGGCCGCGAGTACCTCTCACTTCCTTTTTAATAATGTTTATATTGTAAAGCCAAACACATTTTTATGAAGAAAATAGAAGGCATTGCAAGATAATATATTTCAAATTTAACCGTCGAAGTTAGCAAAATTGGAGATTTACGAAAATAAACTCTAATAAACAACCCCAGTATTTCAAGAAGTCCAGAAAACACGAAGCCCTAACCACAACATATATGTGCAGCGCTATGAGTGTCTCAAGTTTGCCAAACTCTATTAAACTCATACACGGACCATGTTCAAAGACTACAATTCGTGTACGCAGGTGGTACCACGAGGATCGTAGCGGCAGGCGCTTCGCCGTTGCCGAGTCTGACCGTCTCCAGTTCACCAACGGCGTGCTCAGTATTCTCGGCGTCAACGTTCTGGACACAGGCCGCTACACATGCGTCGCCAGGAACAGCGCTGGAGAGCAGACAATTCAAACTGTGCTCTCAGTTGCAGGTGGGCACAGCTGCTTGCCACGTTACAATGCATTGTGGACAACGCCGTCTTTTAGAACAATTTTAGCGTCAATATTCAAGTACGAGCATGAGCCATAAATAATCTCTGAAAAACATCTTCATGACTACATGCTGAGGACTACGTCCTTCAGGACTATACACCGTTCCATACATCAGGTGCAACGCTGTGGAAGCTGTGCAAGATGTTCGGCCAGCAAAACGTATAACTCCGAGCGTCTCGTAGAAGCTAGCGTGACATCCGATTAGTCCTGGTGCACCCTCACGTTTTTTAGGGGCGAAGCTCTTTATAGCGGCACCCGTTCGTCCCTCGTAGTCGTAGTCGCAGTCGTAGTGTGTAACCAGTCTTACGTTTTGACCTGCAAAGTGGTGCCGGTGGAGATTTCTCCTGTGCGTTGTTGAACAATAAAAAATTCGTAGGGTGCGCTTTAACCAAAAGCCGAATTCTCCTGTCTCTCATGCCCCATTAGCAGCCATTCGCATGGACAATGAGCACTATCTGACAAGAAAGGGTTGCTATGTTATACTCGCTGGGCGTAACCTCCTTGGTTTTTGAAAGGTTTAGCGAGCGTTGAGCCGCAGTGCCACGAATACAGCGAAGTAGTATATGCCAAGAACTCAAGGTAGTTAAAGGTGGGAAGTAGGTACGAAGCGGAAGCCGTAAGAAAGTAAAATGCTAATTCTCCTGTCTCTCATTCCCCATTAGCAGCCATTGGCATGTACATTGAGAAACATCTGACAAGAAAGGTTTGCTACATTGTACTCGCCGGGCGTAACCTCCTTGGTTTTAGAAAGGTTTAGTTAGCGTTGGGCCGCAGTGCCATCAATAGAGTGAACTAGTATATACCATGAAGTCGAGGTGGTTAAAGGTGGGAAGTAGACACGAAGCGCAAGCCGTAAGAAAGTGTGCGTGTGCCACCTCTCGTTTAGTCCTTGGAATGTCTGCTGGATGGCGGTGCTTCTATATCGGGAATATATGATGAAAAGATGCGAGATGGTGGTACTTGGAGTTTTGAATAAATGAACGAACGGACACACAGACAGATGCATGGATGGACTCACGGATGGCTGCACCGACAGATGGACGCATGGACGGACGCACGAACAGACGCACGCACGGACGGGTGAATGGACGCATGGACGGTCACACAGACGGACGCATGGACGGACGGAAGCAAGAACGAATGGACAGACGGATGCTCCACCCCACTCTCCATCATTCACTACGTGGATATGCTGCCACTTTTTTGTGCTCCCCTTTGGCGCGACTGGCGAACAGAAGAAAGCGGAGTGAGCGCGGGTACTAAACTGCCCTGTGGTGTCCTATCTTGCAGTGACAATGAAAGTCCAGGCCGCCGCTATCGTGATGTACCCAGAGTAAAGAGCCTGTGTGTGACATCACGTGAAAACTTAGCTTTACAGCCATATAACAACAGACGTTCAATGGCGTTCTTGTATGTAAGGCACGTAATCTCTTCAATTACTTCTCGCCCTAATAACGAAAGCAAAATTAGGTTCTTGGTGGTAAGAAAATCGAACTACTTTGAAGAAATTCTCGCTGGTTTCCGCGATGTTGCACATGATGTGTGAAACAGAGTATACCTACATTGCGTTCTGGGCACAATGTGACGGTAGCTGTCGTTTTTAATTAATATGGAGACGTACACAAATGCGAAAATCATCACTCGAATTCAATAATTCTAGGATCACATGATCAAAAACACAAAGTGTAAATAGGCCATTACGCGTGGGTTGCCATTGATTTGAGCCCCTCAAAAATTTCACATGCAACTAACTTTTTGTGTATCTTCATCTATACGCTGAAATCCATTTGTTAAATTAAGAAACAGTAAGTGAAAAATATTTCTGAGACACTTACTAGGTATGTCATCCATAGCCGCTGCAATTACATCCGGGATCGTTAACGCCACAGTTCTGTTAACCAATGAAGAACATGAAATGCCGCTTGACTTCACACCAACTATAAGGAAGTCAAGATCGCTCAGTGCAGCGGCATCACGATGGTAATTTCGAATATAATTCATCAATGATGGTTCTAAAATTTTTTAAAGTATACCATGTTGGCGACGCTACACATGCTGCGAGAATCTGCAGGAAATAGACCAACATTTGTTGGCTTTTTAAAATCTACTCACTTCTATGCTATCAGACCCTGGTGAAACTCGTAGTGGGCTCCTTGATAGAATATGTATTACAAATTCCTGAACACACAATCAAGAAACTCGTACTTTATTTATAGTTCCACCACCTAACTACTTTAAAAAAGTTCGTTCTCTTCGTCGTTAAATATAGACGTGCACTGGGCTGTCATTATCCTAAATAACGCAAGCCAAAGAAGCCAAAGGAAGCCAAAGATGCGGCTTTCCTGGGAAGTTGCTATCAATTTTTGAACATCGCGAAGGCCAGTGAATTATGATTTTTTCCAACCTACTCAGTGTGTCCTTCCACGAAGGACATCGCTTCAACACTGCGGGGTGGATGGATCAATACTTAGCGAAGCAGTGTGGAAAGTTGGCGACAAGGCGCAAGGCCGCGGTTACATCTCACTTCCTTTTTAATACTATTTATATTGTAAAGCCAAACCAAAATAAAACACGCAGCCATCAAATGGCATGAGATGCTAAAGTGATAGTTATTATAAAATATAATTACTGCCTAAGCACTTCATTCAAATGCTTATCCAGGGAAAGCTGAAACACGCAGACCCTGTGTTTAGCAGTGCGTTCAACCAGACAGTACTGAATCCTTCCACAATTATTGGTTACATGTTCGCGCTGCTCAATGAGGTTAGACCACGTTTGGCTTCGGTTTACCACAGTGTTCATTTCACACGCCGCACATTGTGTCTCGATTTATTGTGGTTATGCAGGAGTGTAAGCAGCACATATAAATACGTTTCACTATTCGTTATTAACAGTGATTGTTTTCGAGTAAGTGGCGGTCACAGGTGTTGCAGCCGAAGCCAATGTGCCGCTCGAGAAACTGCCGCCGAAAGCGGGCGTTCGCCTCGGCAAAGGCGCTCCCGCAGTCATCACATTGACGCCGCAACGCGGCGTAGTTGCAAGCGTTTGATAACGCGACCTAATTTGGAGGCGTGGTTTCCAGAATAAGCCCGGCATCGGTGCTTGCATTTCTATTTACAATATAAAGCGGCTTGGAAGACTGCTGGATTATACCACGCAATTGCTACTGGCCCTCGGCTTTCCGGGCCCGTTTCCGTGCCCGGACAGCGCCATCGTCCCGGCGAATGCGAGCTTTCTCACTTTTCCACTGTCGGCGTTCTTGTAGAGTTGTCCGTGGCAGGTCCATGTGAAACATTTCAGGAGAAACTCTTGCGCGCGCGCTCGGCGCCGCCACTGCGACGAGACGCGTGACGTCACTCACAACGCAGCAACAAACGGCGCGCGTACATGGCTACGCCGCTGCGAATGACGTAGCTGATAACGAAGCCAATGGAAACCGCTCGCGACACCGCTGACGGACGGTTTTTCGCTTTTCCTAGCCATGTACAGCTTCTACTGTGACAGGTCGCCTTCCGTTCATACGCTGACGATCGAAGTGTCGCGTTTTCCAAATACTGGTCTATTGCAGCAGATATTCAAACGCTAGCTATATGTATCTTTATATGCGTGTAAATTCTCTCTGCGATTTAGTATCTGCTAATTTGTATATTCTTACAAAGCATTTTTCAGGCACCTATGATGTTGCTAAGGCCGCATTTGTACGAAACAGTCCAAAGAGACGTCTTATCGTTTGTAATTTTGTGGAGATGTAATTAGCAAGGCCTCTTGGGATGAATAAATTTTGATGTACGAATTGTCCAAATTCACACTTCTAGTGAGCTTTTTGAAAGTATCAATAACAAACAATGCGGCACTGGTTGTAAGGTGGCAGCGAAACACTGAATGGGTTCTGCTAAAAGCAGACTACAGCGTGCGTAAATAATTGCATTAATTGATTCTTGGAAAGGATACACGTGATAAAGACAGAACACATCAGCTCTTCTATCGGTAGAACATTGCGGTTTATGTACCCATTGCCAATTTCTTTCGTGTTAGTGTGAGGATCAGAAATAGGAACGCAGAATACGTAAGTCATGAACACAAAACACGCGACAAATATGATGAACTCAGTTTTATTGTTTAACCAGTTTTCCTCATAAAGAAGAACGTTCGTCCATATGTCTAATCGAACAGAAGTTTCCCTCATAAGGATTGACCAAAAACACCACGGATTGATTGGTATTCAGTGCATAATAAAGTGTGAGCGAATCTAATGCAAGGTAACCTAATATTTAGAATTTACCGACGCTTCTGGAATAACGATAATAAGAAAGACTTCTGCGTATTTGTTTTACAAGACGGCAGAGTGCATTTTGGGCATTGCAATAATTTGCGTTATTGGTGCACGAATCGGGAAATTACATTGTAAGTCAAATTACAATCGAATATTGTTGAAGGGTATAAGTAAAAGTACTGAATATCATCTCGGCTTCTGCCTATACACGATACGTTTACCGTCAGTTGCAGCTGTTGAAAAAAAAATATGGGACGTGATGGCATGGCGACAGCTTTCTGTGGAGGGGTATTTGCTTCAGCTTTTTTGGGTGCGCAAGTATGTTGATATGAGATCCACTCTTTTATAATCTTATATACAATGTGCGAAAAGTACACAGTGGACAAGGTAACGACGAGGAGAAGTGCTACCTTCCAACTATCATTTATTAAAGCAACGAGCACATATGTTGCTGCCGCGTGAGATAACAACCATATAGGTGAAAGCACGAGGGTGACAAAACAAATTGAAACCACATAGCAGTTGGAAAAGTCAAGAAGAGCCCGTGCCGGGTATTTTAAAGGAAAGCTGATAATAAACTTAAAAGACGGGATAATGAGCGAGGTAAATATATCTGGAGACATGCACAACACTCACGAGGTATAAAGGACTAATGTAGCCTATAAC